GAAAAGCATAGTAGTAAAACTGAACTAGCTCTCCACTAGCTCTATGGGAACAAGAATTCAAAGGCTGAGAACCAGAGCATCACAACACGTGCTGTGTTTCCATCTGCAACCATAAAACCACCTGGAATTAAATCCACACTCATAAAACATCAGAAATGACACTTTAATAACTGAATTTTCTTAGCCATCAAGTTTTGAGATTTTTGGCGATTCATTTTGAGAAAACCTGCCCAGAAAAAAAAAAAATGAAGTCTAACTTAACTACACTTAGAATTCAGAGGGAATGCAGCTATATTGTCTGTTAAAAACCACTAAGTGATCTGAAGAAAGAGTTGAGGAAAGGAAGCACTTCTAGAAGCTTTTCTTTACAAGTATTTCAAATTCAGATTTTTATTCTTGAGTCAGTTTTCAAAGTAACTGACTTGACTAAATCCAATCAGCTTAAATCCAGAACAATTTATAGTTGGACGTGTAGTTTGGCCTGCCATCTTAAAATGGAATGGCTGTTAACAGAATTTTCAAAAGAAAAGATCTGATCATTTTTCGTGGATTTATGTGAAATTTGTCAAAATGGAATAGAGTTCAGAGATATGTCACCACAATGAGAACTGCCTTTGGGATGCTGACAGTCAGCAATGCTCTCAAATTGTCAAGTGCCACTAGGAAACATTTCCCTATAAGACTTAAACTCTCCCTACCTCTTGCTCATTCCTCCTGTGAAATGAGGCCCAGGTCAAAAGCTTCTTCCTCCTCGAACACTTCTTTAGCTTCTTTTCCAGAGGGACACCTCCTTTCTTCCAAACACTCATGGCAGGACCCTCAGGAGACCCACACCCTGGGAGTTTTCCCAAGAAGACTGTAGGTCTCTGGAAGAAAGGCACCATGTCCAATTGAGCCCAAGAAGAGCTCTTAGCATACCACCTTAAAACGAGCCCGGAAATAACTTGTTTTCTTGTGCTTCACAGATAATGTGCTTTTCACAAATTGCTGGTTTGTGGGAGCTCTATGTTGAGCACATTTCCTGCACCATTTTCCCAACAGCTCAGGTAATCATTGGCTCCTTTCCCCCCATTTCTGGGGATTGAACCCAGGCCCTTGCACATGCCAGGTAAGCACTCTAGCCCTGAGCTACACCTACAGCCTGTTAGCATCGTTTATCAATAAAGTATTTTTCAATTAGGGTATGTGCATTTAAAAAAAATATATAACCCCACTGCATACTTAATAGACTACAATATAGTATAAGCATAACTTCTGAATACACTGGGAAACCGAAAGAAAATGTGACTTGTTTTACTGAATATTTGCTACACTGTGGAGGTTTGCAACCAGACCTGAAATATCTCTGAGGTGTGACTGTACAAGTTCAACAGGGGTCTGCAAATGAAAGAATAGATAAATGAATGAAGAGTAAATAAAAGTGTGAATAGTTATCCTTTTTCCTGGCGTTGCTACATACCTCAAAGTCCAGTTATTTACTAAAATTTTTTTTAAAACTTTGTGCTCACTTTTAAATTTTTGTTTATTTATTTAATTTATTTTTGTGATACTGGAAATTGAACTCAGGGCCTCGTGCTTGCCAGGAAGTGCTCTACCACGTGAGCCATACCCCCAGTCCTTTTATGCCTTTTAGTTTGTTTTTCAGACAGTATCTCACACTAATTGCTTGAGCTGGCCTTGACTAACTATGATTCTCCTATCTTGACCTCTAGAATAGCTGGAATTCCAGGCATGCACCACCATGCCCAGCCTGCAGTAAAACACTTCAGGTTGATTCCCAAGTTTGAGTTTTCAGTGCATGGTGATTCTTGCTAATGAACTTCAGTTGGACAGGGAGTCATGTAGAAAGTTTACATCTCTTTCAATGTGCTCTACTTGGAAAATATTAACCAGGCACTTACTCTCTTTTTGAGAGCTAAATAATTTCACTTAAAGCATCTATAGCTCTCAGAACACTGGCAGTCTTTGTGAGAAATATCACTTGAACTGTCTGTATTAAAAATTAATCATCTAAGGTTTCCTTGTTTGTTTTTTGCTACTTAAACTCCCTGCTGATACTGAAAAAGTTCAGTGGGGCTTTTGTTTGTTTACTTTTAGTAGTGAGGGGGGTCTTTTCCTCATGATTAAACATGGTTTAGTCACTGGTGAGGAGAGGAAATACATAAACTTTTAAAAGTGTGTTTCATCATGCCCCTGCTTCTAACCACCAGCACTTCTCTCACCCAAAAATACTGGGGAGGGGAGTAGGGGAATATCCTTTGGCCACTTTTGCTTTGTTTTGCATGGTAAATTATCAAGCTTTTTCAGCTTTCTAGGAAGAAATGAAGAAAGGGAAGAAAGGAGGGAGGGTGGAGGGAGGAAGGAAGGGAGACAGAGAGAAAGTAGGCAGTTCCACAGACTCAACACAAAGTTAACAAAGCAATTTCTTTCTCTGCTCATCAAGGAACTGGAATGTTTATTAAAAGGAACTAAAGTAGGTAGCTCAGGCATTCAGGACAAGAGTGAATGATCTCGAAACCAAGGAGACCGCCATCTTCTCTCAAACCCTCCTACGTACCAGGTCTTAAAGAGCTTTAGCCATCTTTCTCCTCTGAAAAGTTAGTTCATTTGCTCATGCCTTGTCCTCAGTAGAAGTAAAGAACACCTCTTTAAGCCCCCCAGCTCACTGTTGGCTTATGATGGATTATTCCCTCAAGTGGGGCTTCTGATTCCTGGAGAGGTTCTTCCTCCCCTATCTCATTCCATCAGACAACTTATTGCCTTGCAAATCACGTGGTACTAACCTCTGATTGTAACAACCAGAAAATGTAAGGCCCAGAAAAATCTACTGATGTTCCCCTAACACACACACACACACACACACACACACACACACACACACACACCACACTCCACTCCACCATACTACACTACTTACAAGGAGCCATGTGCAGGTCCTCCAACTGGGAGCCCCAAGTCCTTTCTCATCTTTCCCAGCACTTAAAGCTCTCCCTGGAAGCAGAGTGGCAATCTCCAATATTGTGGTGCCCAGGCAAGAATCAATCAGGTTCTCTCTACCCTTTCTACTCCAAGTGCGGTCCATGGACCAGCAGCATTAGTATCCCTAGGAAAGTGCTAGGGATGCAGCTTCCCAGGTTTACTCCAGACTTGCTGAATCAGACTGCTCTTTAACAACATCCCCAGGATCTTCACAGTCCTGTTAGTTTAAGAAGTATTACTCCATAACAGGGGGAGAAAAACAAACAAACCCGGACACATCCTCACATTTTGTGCCAACATATTTATAATGTGCTGACTTTGTGCTAAGCCCCATGCTAACATCACCTTCTATAGCAGAAGTACACTGAAGGATATCCCTGCAATCTGACCCTTGTGGACTTGCATCCTCTAAATACTAAGGCCAACAGAATAGTCCATGAGACAGAATTCCTGGAGCCCAGGAAATGCCTGTGTAATCTCTACAACACACAGTAAGTCCGGTTTACTTTGCCTCCTTTCTGAAACTGTTTTATTTGAAAACTTCAGAGTGGTAAAGTGGCAGAAAATACCATCTCATCTAAGATCAAAGATACTTTTTCTCAGATAGGGGCTGTCCACAAGAATCATGGCAGGATCCACAGGAGCAGGAGCATCACAAGCCAGGGTTAAGTACAGGAAGTCTATACAAGAGTCAGACTTCCAAGGAGCAAGTCAAGAGCTCTGCTTTCTAAGGTCTGTGTGACCTTGACAAATAACACCTAAGCCTCAGTAGCCTCACCATTATGGTGGGAATACAAATTCCATTGTAAAGCCTATTTCATAGCCCGATGATAAAGGTGAAATGATATTTATAACAGCTGACACACGACTGCCCAACCAATGAGAACTGCAGTCATTTACATATGCTAATTGTCAGTGTAATGTAACACCGCTATGGCTCCCAGAATAATTTCCTCTTGTGATTGACCCAGACACTGATCCACAGCCAATGGATATGAAGAAGCCATCATGCATAGAAGGCAGGCACTAAGTTTCCTCTTACAAAAGCAATGATTGTGGACTACAGCAAAGACTTGAACCACACTTCCCTTCTAGTTCTAATGCATGGTGACATAAGCCAAATGCTCAAGCCTGATCATCCACAAAGAAATGAAAAAAGAGAAGTCCACTGTTGCCACAATCTCACGCTTGCAGCTGTCCCTTGAGAGAGTGCAGGACAAACACTTTGTCCACTGCAAAGTGACTTTTACAAAGATAGATAGTGGGTTATTGCCCTGTGCAACTGTACTCATGCCTTGCACAACAGTTGGTCAAAGGACAAGTCTGATTTCCTTTCCCAGCCCTCGTTTCAATTTTTATTTTTTAAAAAGCAGCGAAAACACATTGCGCTTTCCATTCCATCCTCATGATTTCAAAAACATTTAGAAGTAACATTGCTCCATTTGACAGACCAATCCCACCTCCTTTCCTAACTAGGCCCAATCAAAACATAAAAGTAACCATCCATCTGAACAGGCCAAAATGAAAAGCATGGTCAAGGCCTTGACAACCAAAATCAAGGCCCCACCCACACTAGCATTTGATTTGGATGGTGTTTTATTTCTCCCCCTTACAGGTGACTGACAGAGCTCACAGCTGTTTCAAAAATTTTAAATATTTCTAGACTTTGGAGGAAGACAGCAAGTTTGCATACAAAATCGTGTTTTCCAGCCACGCTTTTCAGAGTCACAGTAGTATTATATTTTCACTGGCTGCGTGGTTCCAGAGTGCTCCTCTTCAGGGGACATTTTTCCAGCTGAGTTTAATCCAATAAATGCAAGGAGGGGATCTAAATAGAATGCTTGTGGTTGGGCCTGCATTTGTTATTCATCACAAGACACTATAAAACTCCTCTGGCTGTCCAGCTTTTTTGGCTTCCCCGTCAGAGGGCAGAGGGCAGAGGCCCTGGGAAGATCACGCAGATTCACCCGCATCCTCCAACCAACACACCTTGACCTCTGCAGGATGGGGACCATCCTTACCTGTCAGTTTTCTTGACCAGGATGGCTCTGAAGATGTGCTCAAGAGGCAGCGTCTCCTGCTTGTGAGTCGGCTGCACAAAGGGGTGCAGGGCGGCCAGCGAGAAGCCCTGCTGGTACAGATCCAGGAGCTGGGCGGGCAGGTCCCGCAGGGAAGTCAGCCTCACTGCCGAGGACCTCGGGAGCTCCTCTGGGAGTGGAGAGAGGAGAGAGGCCATCAGCAATCCACCAGATCATCCTCCCAACCCACCCAAACACCTCTCCCCTTGCCCTGGGGGAGGACCCTCTGGTCACCTCTTGCCAAATATGAGTCTATTCCTGTCTCTACTGCCTTCCAGGAGACCTTATAAACAGCTTGTCATTTTCTAATTCATCCAAATACATCGATAATTAGATGTCTTAAGTATAAAGGAAATGACCAATGACCACAATGAAAAGAATCATTTCTATCTCCAGGGACAGACAGAGAGAGGAAGGGAAGGAAAGGAAGAGGAAGAAGAAAAAAAAGAGTACATGCGAATATTTAAAAGAAAACATTTCTGTGACACAAGATGTGATTTCCTTAATTTACAAAGAAACTTCTGCTGCCCCCCCCCAAAAATAAAAAATAGTTAAGGTACATGAATAGGCAATTGTATATAAAAATTGTAAAAGGCTAGCTAGTCTTCATTTGAAAAGACATTCAAATTTACCCAACATTAGAACTAAACATATCTAAACAGGTAATATTATTCACCTACTGAGCTATTTGAAAATTTGAATTTTAAATTTGCTTATTTGTGAGAAGAGCAGACAAGGTTCAAAAGTCAAATAGTAGAAATTTGCATACAGTGAAATGTCTACATTCTGGCCCTGTCCCTTGGCTCATGGTTTTCCCCTAGAGGCAATAGATATTAGCTATTTTTATACACACATTGACAATCGCTGAAGTCATACACAAATGGCAATATATACATAATACACCTGGCCTTTCATCAATTAGCAGTGTACTTTTCTTGTAGACCACATCACAGCAGCATAGAGCCCTTCCTCATTCAATTCCACCAGATCTATTGTGGGTTACAGTGTAGATTATGCAAACTTCTCCTTCTTATAAGGCTTTAATAAGAGTTATTTGCACATGATTTCGCATGTGCACACATGCAGCATATTTAAACAAATTTCTAAGGCCAGGGGAGGTAATGCATACCTGTAATTCCAGCACTCAGGAGGTTTAGGCAGGATGATCGTAAACTCAAAGCAGGGCTGGGTTACAGAGCTAGACCCTGTTGCAACATAAATTTCTAGATATGGAACTGCTGAGTTATAGACTGTAATTTGGGGAGGCGGCAGTACTGGCTGATTGAACTCAGAGCCTCACACTTGCTAGGCAGGCACTCTACCACTTGAGCCATGCCCCCAGCCCTTTTTGCTCTGATTATTTTTGAGATAGGGTCTTTATGTCCAGGTCTGGACTACAATCCGCATATTTGTGCTACCCCATGTAACAGGGATGACAATGGGCTCCACCACCCAGCCACTGGTTGAAATGAAGTCTTGCAAACTCCTTCCCCATTCGCCCCCATGGGCTTTGAACCTGGATCTTCCCAATCTCCACGGCCCAAGTAGCTAGGACAGGCATGAGCCACTGTGTCCCAACCAAATCATAATTTTTTCAGGTATTCCCAGATTTCCTCCAAAAAGTAGTATGAATTTACCTGCCATCAGTAATATACAAAAATGTTTCTTTTCTCAAGTCCTGGATAGTGAGGTGGCAATTTATACTTCTCTCACCATGTATTATTTCTTATTAAATATTTTCTATTTAAATGCACTATATCCTTTTCTGTAAACAGTCTGTGGGTAATCTTTGCCTGGTTCTCTATTGATCTTTTTTTTTCTATTGACTTGTAGGACCTCTTTATATATTAAGGAACATAGTTCTTATTTGTGATACCAAATACAAATACCTTTTCCCAATTTGTTGCCCGCCTTTTGACTTCAAAAAAAAGGTGGGTTTTGCCACGAAGAATTTTATGAAGTTGAATTTATCAATCTTATCTTCGAAGGCTTCTGAGGTATATGTCATAGCAGAAACACAGGATTACAAAACAGAATCCTGTGAATTCTTATAATACATATTTCATTGTTTGCATATAAATCTTGGATCTATTTGGAATTTTTCTTGTTTAAAGCATGAACTATAAATTCAATCTTCCCCAAATTTATCCACGTTCCCTTATTAATTTGACATGAGGAATTTACATATTAATGAATGTATTTTGTTTATGGTTGTCATATGTTTGTGTACAACACTATTTTTAAAATGTTAGTTTCACATTATATTTTTGTGTCTGTTTAGGCTATTTCTTGAATTTTCCTATCTTCCTGTTTATTTTCTAAATCTTACCTGATTTGTTTTCCCAAATCATCCTTAATCAAATTCCCAAATACTTTTATTGGATCATGTTCAAATTATAGCATAACTGAGTGAGAACAGGTATTTTTCACCATGCTGGAAGTTCCTATCTGAGAACATGGCATAACTCTGATTTACTAAGCTCTCTTTTTTTTGGGTCCCTTGGGAGTATATTAAATTTTTCTTCACATGGATGTCACATATGTATCAAGCTTATTCCTAGTCATTTTACATTTTATTTCTATTGGAATAATGGATTATTTTTTACTTGTATAATACCCATGTTGGGGAAGCAGGCATGCTCACCACAGCTGGTTAGGAGCAAACCTCTAGAGGGCAGGCTGACTTCAAACCCCAAAACACACACACCCTCTGTCCAGCAACCCCACCACTCTCATGGCAAGACTCATAAATGTCGTTCAAGATACGTGAATAGAGCAGTGGTGTCACAGTCATGCACACTCTGAGCCCAGACAGTCACTAGCCACCAGGTTTCCAGCTGGCACAAGGCACTCTCCATGGAGAAAGGTTAGTCTCTCACTATAGAGGAACATGAAGGCAGGATGCCCAAGCAGGCACCGAGGTGACCAAGCTGTCCATGCACCTCCCCAGCCCAGCCTGAGCTAGGCCCCTCTTCTTGGCCTGCTCCCTCCCCTGCAAATGGTCTGAGGCACCCACAAACCTTGAGCCAAGGCAACTACAAGCTTTCTTGATACAGAGAGGGATCTCCTGTGGGCTATTTATGTTCACCCCAAATCTGTCACCACAGACCTGGACCTTGTGACTTTCCCACTCAGTGACTCCCAGTAGTGAGTGGCTTCACTTCCCACACAGTTACCTAACAAAACCCCTGCTTCTGATTGGAGCAAACAGTTCGGAAAATGGGAAGGCAGTTGGGGAGATGGAAATCCTGACTGGCTAATGAGGAAGTGTACCAGTATTTTAGGTGGGAGGATGGTACCATGGTCGCATATAAAAAAATCCCAACTTAGTAAGTGCACATGAAGACATGCACAAAGAGAGTGGGACCAGATGTCTTTGGACCAAGATATTCACTACAGCATTTGTTCTAACAGCAGAAACTTCAGAATCAAAGAGTTCTCCATGGAGGACCAGTGAACGTCCCAAAGATGAATCCTTGCACACTAAGAAGGCGAAGAAAATCTGTTACGTGCTGGTGTAGACATGTGTCAAGATCCAATTCTAACCTTAGGAAAAAATGGTGCTTAACTGTTAAAGGTATGGTTACTCTTGTAAACAATTAACTGTTAAATGTGTGGTCACTCTTGTAAAGAATTTTTTTTTAAAAAGCCATGAATAAAAAGAAGGTAGACATGGATAGATATAAATAAAAATTCCTCTGGAAGAAATTACAAAGATGTCAACACTGGAGAGAGGAACTAGAGTAGAGAGAAAAGGGTGGAAGTGTTCATTTTATTTTATTTTTTTCAAAACTTACCATCTGCAGGGTTATTTCAGTGGAGATTTTGTAAGGCATTTTTATTTTCTTCCTCATATTAAAAGCTTTAAATCTTTTTCTTTTAATGTGTTATTTTTAGACAAGAAGTTTGTTGTTTCGGTTTTGGTTTTGTGGTGTAAGAGATGAAACCCGGGACCTCTGGCATATTAGGCAAGCATTCTATGAGCTACCTCTCCAATCCTTTAATGTTTTATATTTACAAATAAGCTGAAAAAACCAAATCCAGGGTACTTAAGCACACCATGAAGTAGTAAATGCTGTAGCCCTCATTTCCATATGTCATGCAAGAAACTTAAAGGAAAAGGAATCCACGGCAGTAAGTCTAAAGCAAGTGTTTAAGATCCTAGGGACAAAGACAAGTACGGCTGGGCTGGCAGCAAAGTGTGCAGCTTCTTCTTTGAAGGGAAGGTTCTGGCGATGCTGCTAGGGAACAAAATCCAAAGGCAAGTCTGGTAAGGATGCAGGAGCTGGGGGTGTAGCTAAGTGCTACAGTGTTTGCCTATCATGTACAAAGCCCTAGGTTCAATCCCCAGCACCAAAACAAATACATAAATAAAAAGAAAGGATGCTGAACCCCACTGTATTTCCCAAGAAGCAAGCAGTTGATATGTTTAGAGGAAAGGATTATTCTCTCCCCCCACCCCACTCTACCCCCCCCCTTTTTTTTTGAGATGGGGTCTTGCTATGGTATCCAGGCTAGCCTTAGATCCTTAGTTTCAAGTAATCCTCCTGCCTCAGCTTCCTGAGTAGCTCCAGGTGGGTGCCACTGCACCTGGCTAGAAGACAGGATTCTAGTGTCAGCTGTGCTCCTCACTCGCTGTTAACCCAGCCATGTGATCGAACACTCAGTTTTCATGTATGTTATCTTCTGTGGAGATCATCGACCTCTCCTCCACAGAGTGGGTGTGAGAATCAGATGGGATGGCGTGTGTGTAGTCAACAAAACCCAAAACAATCACAGTCAGTGGTGGGTGGGTGTCTGGCAGCAGGACTGGGGCCATTAGGTGGTTCCACACCCCTTAGCTCCTCACTTCCAAATCAGTGCCAGAAACATTAGTCAATCAGCTGATTTATGGTTAAATGCTTCCTGAATAAAACATAATACATTAAAAAATTTATCTTAAAATCTAAAGATGTACCTCCTGTCAAAACACACCAAATATTTATGGCTTTAATTTTTGGTATGTGTGCTGTCAAAGTAAGTTCAGCTTCATGGTTAAAAACAAACAAATCTCAACAATCCCATCACAGTAAAAAGACTCCTATTGTAAATATGATTAAAGGCTAAATTTCATGTTTCTATTTGAACCTT